TCTCTAAAGTGCCACAAGTACTCCTGTTCTTTTTGCGGATACAGACTAACACGGCTGCTACTCTGAAACCAGTGGTATAGAGAAGTTCCCATCACCTTATTATCTGAGCGCCTTACAAGGTCTAACCTATTTCTCCTCACAGCCCCTCCGTGAGGTAGAGCTGTGCTGTTATCCCCATTGTACAGACGGGGCACTGAGGCACAGAGAGACTAAAGGCCAGATTTTCAAAGGAATTTAGGCACCTAGTGGGATTTTCAAAAGCACCTAGAAGGTTAAGTGCTTTGTAAACCCCATTAGATGCCTAGCTGCATCTTTGGATGCCTAAAAACCTTTGAAACTCTGTCCCTAAGGCATACAGGAAGTCCATGGAGGAAGTAGAACCCAGGTCTCTCAGGGCTAGCTCCTTATTCACTGTACCAGCCTCTCTCTCTGCTATATGCTGCAAAAAAAAAAAAAAAAAAAAAAAAAAAAAAACTCTGATAGATGGGAGCAAAATCAAGAAGGCCAATTCTCTGAGACTCCAACAAATGGTCCGAGGCAATTGGAAAGGATGTCATGGTTGACAGCATGAAAAGCAGCACAGAGGTCAGGAAGGATGAAGAAAGAAAGGAAGAGAATAACAGTCAGATGAGAGGAGATCACTTAAGCCCCAAGGGGTGGCAGGTTCTGCCCCAGGCTAGGTTGTAGAGCAATGGCTGCTGTGAAATTTTACATTTTAACTGAAAATCATTTTGTTTTTGTCATTTTTTGTTCTGAGTTTGAAAAAGGAAGGAATGAGAAAGTGTAGTATGAGTATCAGATGTGTTTATGCCTCAAATTCTTAGGGTTTCAGCTGTATCCAGGCCAATTCCAGAACAAAAATCAGAAATTGCATCCAAAGAGTCCATAAAGTCAACGATTATTGTCATGATTTGCATTATTCACTGGGCACCATCTTTGTGCTCAGCAGAATATGCCAGGAAATGTAGTCCCTGAGGCAATGTGTATAAAATGTGTAGCCCTGGATAAGATGGCTCAGATATTTTAGTATGAAGTGTATAGTTATTGAGCACATGTTAATATCTATGAGTGAAGGTGCTGACAGCAACAGAAGTTTTACTTGATTAAGGACTAGAAGATTTGACCCTCCAACTTTCTTTCAAGAGGAAGAGCTGCCCAGAGCTCCTGTGCCTGTTTATTTTCCTTTCCTGCCTTCAGTGGCCCTGACAGACCTCAGAAGTCTCAATTTTTTTCTCAACTTTAAAATGTGGCATTTTCTTGGTGTTTGATTTTAAGTATTCTCCTGTGAAAACTGCAACTCAATCACTGTAGTGTTGAGTTTAAGAGCCTTCTGGAAAATAACTAGCATACAAACAGAAATCAGCGTTGCCAACTCTCATGATTTTGTCATGAGTCTCATGATAATTATTGTTTTCCTTAAAGCCCCAGATGCTGGAGTCAAGTGGATATGTGATGATTTCAGCCTTCATTCTTAAAAAAAATGAAGTTTCTAGCCCTCGTGGCTGTGGAGAAAGCTTAAAAATGTGACCCCAGTGCACCCTAAAGGCTTGAAAAGCAGAAGGCAAATAAAAAGAACACCAAATCTATTATTTTTACATAATCTCATGAGTTTAAAGCCAATCTCATGATTTTTGGTGAGCCTGATTGATTATTTTTGAATGTTTGTGGTTGGCAATACTGTGAAAGTGACTTGAAAGTGTCAGTTTCATTCCTGTTTAAAGTCAGTTTCTAGTCTATTATTTGTAGTGGAGAAACACCCCTAGAGCCCCAGGCAGGTGCAGTATAAACTCATGGGGCCTTGCGCTAGCCTAGTAGGATGTTTCCAAAAGTTAAATGATCTATTCCAAGCTTGGTGAACTGCAAAAAAGTGATAGAAAATAATCTAGACTTTTCTACAATTGTTTCATTCAAGAGTTAGTAACAAAGTAAGAATATACATTAAATTTTTAAACCTAACCAGTGTCCCTTAAGTAACTTGATACAAGATGTCAGAACATATTAGTATGAGAGCTGAGTGGGTCTAATATTTAATTTTCTTTCTTTATATGGGAATTAGATACAGGGCTCCTGTAAGATATATCTAAGTTATTATCTGCAAAACAACTAGAGTCTTCAGGTGCCTAAGTAGTCCCTGGAATCACAGGTAAAGTTGCCTGCCCCCCACCAAAATCTGAAATGGCGCCCGGGAATAAAAGCCTCCGTTATTCACAGCAAGGGAATTCTCCAAACCCTGACTCAGCCCAGCTGAGCCCTTGGGGAAACGGAGATTCGAAAAAGAAGCTGTGTGTACTAGCAAGACATCCACCACCAAGATCCCAACTGAGACACAATGCAGATGCTTTAAAATGACCTGAGCAATGCATCCTTACAAGGGGAAGGATGGTCCTGTGGTTGGAGCACTGGGCTGGGTGTCCTAGGATCTAATCCCAGCCCCATCCCTGATTTACTGAGTGGCTTTGGGCAAATCACTTCACCCCTTTGTGCCTCTCCACCTTTAAAATGCAGGTAATTTACACCTCTAGCTGACAGGGGTGTGCAAGGATAATTAACTCATTCATATCTGTACAGCAATTTGAGAACACTGACTATGTATAAGCGCAAAGTTACAGTCCCCGATACATTTTTATATGAAATAAGACCACACAAGAGAGAGTTGTGGTCTCTTTCGAAGCCTTGGCCTCGATTTTTAAGGTCTCACCTGCAAGACCCACATGTGGAGTGAACTGCACAGAGCTCCCATTACCTCATTCTGAGGGACAAAGAACAAAGCTG